GCGCAGCTATTGAAGGTGATGACGCGTGTGGTGTGGTTGGCTAGACATGCCTACTAATTCGGTCCAAATTTTTATTAATTCATAAAAAAATTAATTAGGCATCCAATTAAGTCAAATTTAGTTTCAGATTGCATTGTCTTCATGTCTCGACCCACGTGTCAAATGTGAATCGTATCGGTCAAGTAGAAGTTTCCGAATTTTCACTCCTGCGTTTCTATCTAGACAGACAGACTGTCGACTGTCGACTGACGACAGAGGAAGTGAGTTAAATAAAAGCTTGTAAAAAGGATTGAAATAACAATGTTAGTGGCTCTTTCAAAACGGGGAAATTTTGAAAATTTTAACTTTTGGCTCTTTTGTCTCAATAGGTTGCCGACGCCTGTTCTACGTAACTAACTGATGTTTTCCTTATTTTTATATAATCTGTTTATAGCTTGAAAGTATTGAAGATACTATTTCAAAGTTGACCAACGATTTGAATCTATTAGGTAGGTTTACCTTTATGTTTTTTTTCTAACCAAATCATACAGCCAGGCAGACCATCAAGTGATGTTCGTTAGCCAGGCAGACCATCGCGTGATGCTCGTTAGGCAGACAGACAATAACGTGATTTATAATGTAAAAACTTACGTAATATATGATTATAACATAACGCTATAACATTTTTTTTGTACTTTTAGTGACGTATTACGTCATCTTCTATACTCATAGTTTCAATACGGTGGACATGATAAACTAACACCACTAAAACTGAGGACCGTACTAAACTAGTTGTCTAGTGTTTCAATTTGTGGTCTTAGACAAAATTATGTAAACAATATGGATTATTTTACAGAATTTATTTTTTCAAAATAATTGTTTTATTTGGGTTTGCAATTATTACTTACATTCTGAACAGCATACAAAACAAATATAATGAGATTATGTTTAGGGTTAATAACATAAACTGATGAAATAACAATTCACAAATATTATGAATCAAATAGACAGAGCATGTGTGGAATTAAACATGTAAATTATACATGTTTTCTAATCAACAGAGTCACGTGTATGTAACAGATATGCATGTCATGTAAGGCTTGCTGGTCACACACCTGACAGTGATGGATCAATTATTTCAAAATTTAAAGAGGTACGTGAATATAATGGTCAACATTTTAATCAAAGAACAGGGAAATTTATACCACCACATGATGGTTTATATCTTGTCTGTGTGACTCTACATGAATGTAAAGATATAAAAATTGGAGTTAATGTGATGGCTGGAGGCAGGTGTTATAAGTTTATAGAAGTGAAATGTGCCGACACTAGCTCTGGTGGGTCAGTGGTTGTTGACATGAAGAAAGGTCAAGAACTTTACTTTGAAGTGTTTCACGCAGATCTAGGCGCAAAATTATCCGGCTACAGTAGTTTTACTATCGTTAGTTTATAGAAGAACAACACAAAACATGGTGGATGGTAAATTTTTAACAGAATAAAATATGTAAGCAACATGTTAAACACACGCGAACAACTTACTATGTGTGTAGACTGCATGTCTACAAACACTTGAATGGTTTACATGATATTTGTTTAGTTATCGTTTTGTTTCAATTGATTTAATATGCTCAATAATTATGTTTTCTACTTGACCAACGTTATAGAATATAAGTATGTACCATTTCCTTCACTGTATCGGAGCACAGACGTATTTGAATATGTTTGGTTTGTAAAAAATAATAATATGTATTTATCTTGTTAAATATGTAACTGTTATCTGAACCCTTGAGACAAATTAAATGAACTTCCACAAAGACGAATGTTAAAATATGTTCACTGTACATCATTAATATGTGCCGTATGTATTAAAAGTATGCTTTTAATCCAAGTTAGTCATTTGTAAAATAAAAATTGCAATTATTGTTATTTGTACTACAAGTATCTGTAATTGTAAACACTACATTCGTTTAATAAATAAATTACAAATTATCCGTATTAAAAGCATGTTTTCCACTATTTAGTAACACTATCTTTAAATTAACAAACATCAACACAAACAAAAATCGTTACATCCATTAAACTAAAATAATTATTTATCTTTATATAAATTTAGTTGAATACATTCTAACCTTAGAAAATCGTTATTTTCATTTGACACATATTAGACTATAAAATGAGTTACTGTTGATATAATCATATATGTAATGTATTTTGGCGTCAATTATATATTTTGATATATAAGATATTTAAGTATTGAGTGCTGTACCAGTAGACTGCTCATAACTTCTGTAACAGATTAGTGTTGAGGAGTAGAATAAAACAAGTTAGTTTATTAAATCTACATGATAATATTAAACATTGGTTTATTTCTACATCATTTCAAAAATAAAGTATATAAGAAATATAACCAGATTGTAAAATTCTGGATCTCTTCCGTTGGCATTTTCATAGGGTGCTGTTGCATCAACTCGAGGAATACGTTTAAAACTCCATGAAATATGCTATAGTGTATGAATATAACCCTTTCAAAATGCCATAATGTTAAATTGTTTATTATTAGTTAGACATTAAGATCATTGTTATTATACAAATCTCAACTGTAGTTTTCATAAAGTATATTTCTTATCATTAACACAAAAATCACTCACCCACTGATGTGTTTATTTATATTGTCTAAGCCCGAAGTATAGATAGACTAACCCCAAACGGTCCACCAAGATCAGATATTTTACCGTATATGTGAACACATATCTAACAGACCGACGATATCAGGAGATCAGAAAGACTGGCAATAAAATTTGGTATAATATGTGTTACTCTGTACTTGGTGTTAGTGTTTGACATAACTTGTTAATGTGTCTTTTACTAGTCTTTGAACGATGCATCAAACCGCGGACCTAGAACAGACTATGTTATTAATAGATTTCATTATGCCTTTTTTCGTATACAACTCTTTAGGCTTAGTTATTACAAGTATGTCACCTCACATGCCCGATTTTTTGTTTACTTCTTATATATTTACCTCTAAAAAGCTATTAGCAGTTTTAGGTACAGACATTAATCGAAATAAAAAAAATTGTTTTCCCATCTTTGCTGTCAGAAGTCGGACTACTATATAGGCAGAAGATCACTAAAAGCACTTTAGCTGACTTACCATTTCTCTTTTAAAATGTGTACATACGATAAACAACACACCGAAGCATTATAATGAAAGTTTTGTTTATTAGTACATACGATAACACATCTATAAACTAACAATAGTGAACCCACTGCCAGCTTGTAGTACAGCTCCTTCATCAGCCTCAATTACTTTAAAGTAAAATATTCTTCTCCTTTCTTCATGTCAGCAACAGTTGAGCCACTGACAGATGTTTTAGCTGAACTTACATACATATTTTTTTTAGGTCTGTCTTCAACACATACCTTTACTCTAATCACTCTCCTGTAACGTTACAATAACAAGATAGCTTCGGTCATCTGGTGCTACACGTTTTCCTGTTGTCAGATTAAAATGGCTGCCGTTACGTTCCATAACACTATAGAATGTAGAAATAATTGACCCAGCAGTTACTGGTGTGTTGTTCTTCAGATGAATTTGACAGATGTAAGGCGAACACACACGGGGCTCTGTTGAAAAATTCATGGTTTATTGAAGCATCTGTAGAGATACATTATTTTATAACAGCACATAAAATGTGTTATAATAACACATCAAAGAGACAATACAAGAATGCATAAAATTAAAATAGTAATTTCACCTACTATAAAACTTGCAACATAAACATGTGAACACCTTGGTCAAAACTTAAAATACAGTAAACATTTCTGATATACTACCTCAAAATTCAGGAAGATTTGAAAAAAAAAACATATAATCTCGCTGAATTGTATATATTAAAACCCACTAAAGTTAATTTTATCATGCTAAGATTTGTTGTGTGTTGAAATATAACGTATATACGGCTTGACTGTAACTTTGAATACATCTTCCTGAGCGTATTCGGGTATAAGTAGGTTTAACTAATTATTATTGTTATAAAACAGCTACAGTACACGCAGACATTACTAAACCTAAATGAAATGCTTCAAATTAATTTTAAAAGCTAGTAGGCCTATGTAACAATTACAAAAATGTAAAAGCAATGTTTACTATTACTATATATTTTTTTAGGGGAATCAAGTAGCAGCAATTGTGACCGATGATTTTATTTCAACGGTTAGTTATATACTGGTTAAGAAATTATGGAAATATGAGTGAGATTAGTTGTTTTGTTTTTAATGTCTCGAGCCCGGGTCCAAAATTTCTGGTTAACAGTTTATAATTTAGCACTAGGCCACGCCTTTGTTTTTAAAGAACCAACTAATGGGTAAATTAAACAGGAATTTTTAAACTGAAAATTAAAATTTGAAGCAAAATATAACGCACTAATGTTTTTAAATCTGAAGACAACCGTAACATTTCTATGGCGCGAGTTTCAATCTTTAAAGAAATTTTTAATTACATTTGTGTTAACAATTTCAGCAATTGACACATATTCAGTTTGATATTCCTATACACTTCGCTCTGTGCTATTTATTATCTACGTAAAGACTCTGTGTTTTAAAATAATGTATTTATGAGTTTTATATTCAGAAATATCTATTCAAGTAAGAAGAAAGTTTGATTAGCATTGAAAAGTACTTTCTTTACATTCAAATTTAAAGTTTCAATCTTGATTGAAATATTTGCCTTATTTTTGTTTCTATTTTCTAGTAAAGTTAAAATGTAATCAAAATGGTTATTAACTACTTGTTCTGCATTAAAAAAGTAACACATACATCACCTACGAATACATTTACAAACGCTATCTCTCTCTATATATACATATATATAACAAAACAAAAAAATTATAAACGATATGTTAACTTGTTGTAGCTAACGGTCTATAAAATCTACATTAGTGGAGTTAAAAACGTCAAGTTGCAGATAAGTATTACAAAAAGCACATCAAAGTGTACTTGTTAAAAAAAAGTTAAAACAACTTTTCAAGTGCGTAGACATCTTTTAACAATTTTGTAACATCAACTTCTACAAATCCAAGCTGAAATTACATTGTCATTAGATAATAGGAATACATATTAATTATAGTTTAAATTTCTATTTAATCTATTTGAACCTCAGTATTTAAAAATCATGTTATGTTTTGAGTTTTAAGATGGGAAAATAAGAGAATAAAAAATTAAAAGGAATTAAGTAGTATATACGTTTCGTGCTCGTTCAAAAAACAAAACAAAAAAACAACACATACCAATGATGTTTTTTTACCTTTCTCATATTTTTCACCCTTGTCTCCAAGATCTGGTTAAAGGTATGAACCAGTTTGTCAATGGGCATCAATCTTTGTTGTAGGAGTTTATACATCACACTGTGCTAGAAGGAGGTATTTTAAAATAACATTTAACACTTAGAATGACAGTGACGTAATCATGTATTCCTCAAGGACACTCCTCCACTATTTAAAATTATCTGGATAAAATTGATCGATAAACAAATTGATGCTTCCTTAAATTTATTATGGGTGAGATGGGGAAATTAAACTAACCCCTCCCACCACCATGATGGATCCCAGAATAAACAAATTTCAAAATGAAGTTTTAAAAATTACCTACAGAGATACTACAAATGTAATTTTAAAATATTATATAATATATTCAATTAAAAAACGAAAAGATTTTGATAGGGTGGGGGTGGAATATAAATGTATCGAGAGACAGAATGATCCAATATGTAACATATAAATAATATATTGTTGTGTTCAGTTGAATTGGCTGATCAGAAATATATTATTAAAAGCTTAAAACTACCTTAGCCAATAAATCCTTTAAATTGTGTAGCTCTTTCAACAGCATTTTGTTTTCCGGAATCAAATCAGATAACCTTTTAATTTTTTTTCATATTCTTTCAAATCTAGAGAAAGTTTCTCTAGTGATTTGTTCGACTTGGTTTCTTTTTTTTTTCTAAACTTTCAATTTCTTTGTTCAGCTCATTTGCTTTGTTTCCTTTTTCACTTATTTGTTTTCTAAGGTTTCTAAATTTAAGCTTTTGTTTCCTACTTAGTTGTTCAATTTTTGAATTCATATTGCATGTTTCTGTGACAAAGTTATCTCTCCACTGTTTTATTTCTGTTATGTCAACATTAGCTTTATGAGCTGTGTCTTGCAGAGAACTTACAGTTGTCTCTATAAGCTTCAGTCTGCTAATTATCTATGTAATGTATTTGAAAGTAATAATTTATGAAACAAATGTTAAAACTTGATTATAAAATCGTATCGTTTGCCTTACAATTTTTTTCAATGCAAGTAACTGTTTTATTCGGATTTAACATATTTCTTTGGTTTAACCTAATTTGCTTTTATACCCGTGGTAGGTTTAGTTAGATTAAACACTTGGGGTGTAGATTCACAACAGTCAAGTTTTTTAACTAGTTTCTGCAATGAAAAAAACTAGCTATAAACTCTTTTCTGCAATTACCAAGACGACGTAAGTATACACTAAACATATTTGTTTGCGTAAGTTAGTTGATTGCATTACCTTCGATAACTTTTCAATGGAAAATATAAAAATTAAAAATAAAATAAAATAAAATAAAATACAAAAAAAAATAATCTTGATCTTTTTGTAATTATGTTTGAAATGTAAACTCATGTTTTATTCTGTAACAATGAGTAAATTCATGATCAACATGATCATCATTATCACCATCATCATGATCATTATCATCATCATCGTCGTCATCATCTTTTCCAGGACAATTAGATAGAGTAGCGATTATAGGTGTTAATGACCTCAGAATACAAGGGATAGTTTGTTAAGGTGTATGCTCAGCCATCTTTGTTTCCCTAAACAGGATTATGTACCCGTCAGAGATAAATGGGCTTAGATACGTCACACAAACTGGAGTCCGAGATCTGAACTCGATAATTTACGCGGTAAAAGTAGTCTACCATTGGACCATGATGATCCCTTAAAAGGACATGCCATATGAACAAGATTTGCCGAGACCCAAACTCGTGACTTTTGTGTGAGCAGTCGCAGGCTCTAAAAATGCATTAAAATTTTTACTCATAATTTTAGAACATGCATCCAACATTGCCATGGTCGCTGACTCATGTTCCTGGCGTAGCTCTACTTAGGTGATAGACGGGTTGTCCTTTTTATCTTCTATCCACGTCGTACTTTTTTCTACGGCCTGGTAATGTTAAAAGTGCATAAGTGAAATAAACTGAGTAACTTAGTACATGATTGTATAATATAGAATTTGTTAATAAAATATGATTTAAAAAAATGACACATAACTACTGACTACTTACTTTTTTCATTATTTCAAATGCAGGTTCCATAACTCGTACCTGTTCCTCCAAATATTTCACGTGCTCTTTAACAAGCTTAACCTGAATTCTAGGAAGCATCTAAACATATTAAATATGAGATGAATAGTTTCAAAAAACATGCTTCTAGTTGATATGTTACTACTTTTAAAACTTAGTCAGTATTACGGGTTTAAAATTAGGTTCACTTAAATACTATTCATACATATTCATATTACAATAGCTACATTTCAAAAAACAGTTTAGCGTTTACAAAAATAGGCCAATATGAAACGCATAACCCCCACATAATATAAAACCCCATATTTTAATTTTTCTCTTAAGGCTATAGTCCCCTACATATTTTTACTTACATGCATTTCATTCCTCAACTTTAACTCTAACTTTTTAATCTATAAACCACATCATCATCTGTATACCTACTTTACGAACAACCCAAATCTTAATATTATATTTACACTATCAGAAACACAAGTTCTACAACATATCTACCATAGTTAATAAGGACTCTAGCTTGTATGTGAAACTGAAACTGCTTAACGGGAAATCCCGAAATTAACTGCTGTTTAGGTAACAAAGTTGTCAAGACGACAAAGTTTCACACACCTAGATTTGTTATTTAAAGTTTTTAGTTGGCATTACTTTGATATTGATATAGAATTGAAATTGTAAGTATCATTTAATGTGTTGTGTGTAAGAAACAGTATTACCTAATTATTTTTACTTTAAAAGTCTTTACAGATATGTTATTTTAAATAGGTCACTAGGCCGACCGCACACATGTCTTTCACAAAACTACACACATGTATTATCGCTAGCATACAACACAAAAATAATAAAATTGGAGTGTCGCTAACACAGCAGGACGGTTTTATTTCGAACTTAAAATAAATGTTTTATTTGTTATTGTTGATTTATAAATAAATGAACGCACGATATTTTTTAATGTGTTCTTTTTTTAATATGTAAATCAAAGTTCATATAAAGTCAATCACAGTACAAACAGGTCATTTGAACCCCAAATCAAAACACAAATGATAGCTCACATAATGTTTTAATGCTAGACCTTACAAACAAGAGGTCAAACAAAACACAGAATACACTCACGACATAATACACAAACGACGGATAACAGAAATGAGAGGTCACTAACTTACAACCTACTCATTACCCAGTCAAACAACAGAATATGTTACAGTCAAACAACAGAATATGTTACAGTCAAACAACAGAATATGTTACAGTCAAACAAAAGAATATGTTACAGTCAAACAACAGAATATGTTACAGTCAAACAACAGAATATGTTACAGTCAAACAAAAGAATATGTTACAGTCAAACAACAGAATATGTTACAGCTAAACACCAGAATATGTTACAGTCAAACAAAAGAATATTTTACAGTCAAACAACAGAATATGTTACAGTCAAACAACAGAATATGTTACAGTCAAACAACAGAATATGTTACAGCTAAACACCAGAATATGTTACAGTCCAACAACAGAATATGTTACAGTCAAACAAAAGAATATTTTACAGTCAAACAAAAGAATATGTTACAGTCAAACAACAGAATATGTTACAGTCAAACAACAGAATATGTTACAGTCAAACAAAAAAATATGTTACAGTCAAACAACAGAATATGTTACAGTCAAACAAAAGAATAATATTAAAGTCAAACAAAATAACATGTTACAGTCAAACAACAGAATATGTTACAGTCAAACAACAGAATATGTTACAGTCAAACAAAAGAATAATATTAAAGTCAAACAAAATAATATGTTACAGTCAAACAACAGAATATGTTACAGTCAAACAACAGAATATGTTACAGTCAAACATCAGAATAATATTAAAGTCAAACAACATGATATAATACAACCTCATACCTGAATGTTACACAAATAATCTCCATCGGACGTTAACATTGATTTCATGATATATTATCATGTGTGGGTTATTGAAAGCTGCTAGGGATTTGCGTATGTAAAACATTCTGGTTTATAATGCGCATCTGTTTATCGTTATTTGTTATATATTAATACAATATTTTTTAAAAGTGACAGTTATATTATTATTTAGATGCCTTCAAGAATTCAGGTCAAGCTTGTTACAGAGCAGAAGATATATTTGGAACAACAAATACAATTACTGGAACCTGTTATAGGAGATATAAAAAATGTAAGTTTCTATCAACTTACAATAATCTTTACAAGTGCGTGTTCATACACACTTATATACATGCAGCAATATTTTATGTCAAAAGTTTAATTAATGTAGTGCATTTCTAACAAAAAAAAGCCAATAAAATCTAAACAATAGATACATACATTATATTGTCCTTCATCACAGGTTGTTACAAAAAGTAAGGCGTGGCTAGAAGAAAAAACTGACCAATCATCTGTCAGCTACATCGAGCTATCACAAGAACTGGACACAGCAGCCACGGCCTTGTTGGATGTGACGTCACATATTTTAGGTCAGTACTCAAATAGTTTTTATAATTTAAAATCTCAAAGCCTACCATCGTTTAGTCTGTTCAGCAGTGAAGCGTTTCTACTGAGAAAAATGCAACGAAATTGTTTTACAAACCACTTTCCAATTTCATATAAAATCGATGTCACATTAGTGAATTTTGTAAATCATTATATGAACAAAATAAAGATTTTACAATCACATTGTGTAACCTTATTCGCCCTAAAACAAGGTTAAAGAGCCTTAAATGTTTATACAACAAAAACATTTAAAATACGTTTTATTATTAAATCGATAATTATTCTTGTAAAAGTAAATTTAAAACGAAATACCATGTACAATATATAGGTTTTAGGCATTTGGGAACTATTTGTGTTTGTTTAAATTTGGATGATATTTAAAGTTTTTTTTTATCATCAAAATATTACATGGTTTGCGTTATAGTTTTCAACAGCTATACAAGTAAAACGTATTGTATGTACTATAAAATCCTTGTTTACTTCAATTGCAATTAAAATAAAATTCTAAATCCGATTCAACCAGACGAGGACAACATGGATGTCAACAATCCAACGCCATCTTTACCACAGCCTGCCACACAGACAAAAGCAACATTTCTAACAGTAGAATCACCAAGACAACTCAAGACACAAGTTCAACATACAGCTGGTATATTATAGTAGTCTTTGGTACAACACGTTACATAGCATCATATGTTGGAGATAATTTTAAAATATGTACATGGATTGTAATTGTAAACCAATGTACGATTGATACCTTGGTTTTGTTTAATTTTTAACGCACTATTTTTTTTTTAATTTCGGTATTTTAAATTACAAACTTATATTTGTGACTATTCTCAGTTGAAGAACATCCTGACCTAGAGCGTAGACTCGCCTATATTGAAACAACACTATCTTCACTACAGGACACACAACACAAGTCTACAGATGACATATCAGAAATAAAACAATGGAGAGACAACTTTGTAACAGAGCAGAGTGACAATTGGGTAAACATTGAACAACTGACTAAAAAACAAAAGCAGAATTTTAAAAATCTTAGAAAACAAATGAGTAAACATGATAACAAAGTTAAGGAGCTGAACAAAGAAATTGAAAATTTAAAAGAAAAAGAATCCAAATCAAACAAAACGCTAGAAAATCTGTATCTAGATATGAAGGAATATGAGAACAACTTACTTAAAATAAATAAAGAGATGCAAGATCACACAGATAAAACAGACAGTATAACACAAGAAATGAAAAGACATTCAGATCAGATGGCTGCCTTACACGAAGAGAGTTCTAAAACCATGCTGAATACATCAACGCAATTAGAAAAGGTAAAATTTCTAATTATCTGTGTACACAATTTTACACATACTGGCCACATAACTTATTTCACATTTTATAACCTGGTTAAATCAAAAGACAACTTAGTAACTTTATCAACTATTATGCCTTTAATATAATACTATTCTTTTTATAGTTATAATGTGAATTAAAAATAATAAAAATTTTAATGCTTTTATTTACTTTTCTGCTTTTTAGTCCATTTTAATGAACAAGCTCCTACAACAAAGGTTGATGCCTATTGACAAACTGATTCAAATTTTTAACGAGAAGTTGGAGTCAAGGGAAGATAGAATAACGAAGGTATATAAGAAGTAATTCTATTAAAAAATAAAATGCGCCGTTTATAAATCATGCATTAATTATCAACACTATGTAAATAGACAAGTTAATAACATATATTTAAAAATAACAAAAGTTTTAAATTATTTTCTATTCTTACAATATGCCATAACCAACTAAAATCATTGCATCGATTGTATGCTGTACGTAACTATGGGATTTTTTCATTCGTTTTATAACATACTTTTTTAGCTGGAGAATATTGATGTGGCTATTTCAAAATTGTCCAAAGATTTGAGTATTATAGGTAAGTTTGCCTTTAAAAATTAATTTTAGCCAGACAGACCATAACATGATGTTCGTTAGCCAGACAGACCATAACGTGATGTCCGTTAGCCAGACAGACCATAACGTGATGTTTGTTAGCCAGACAGACCATAACGTGATGTTCGTTAGCCAGACAGACCATAACGTGATGTTTGTTAGCCAGACCATAACGTGATGTTCGTACGCCAGACAGACCATAACGTGATTTTCGTTAGCCAGACTATAACGTGATGTTCGTTAGCCAGACAGACCATAACGTGATGTTCGTTAGCCAGACCATAACGTGATGTTCGTTAGCCAGACAGACCATAACGTGATAAAGTATGGAACATTTCACTCACCCATAGTGCCAGTCTCTAGACCCGTGGGTTTCCGTCAGGTATTTGTTTCCTCACCTGGTACATTACACCACCTGGTATGTCGGGGGTCGACCTACAGTGGTCTATTATAGCACAGTAAGACATTTACGACAATTTCAAATGAACTAATTTAAATTGACCTCACTTTATCCCGTTATGTTTCTAATATTAATACGGAGTGCCAAACGAACCAGGGCTGCAACCTAA